ATTGAAAAATTTTGACCACTTTACGAATTTAATTGCGTCGTAATATTTACATTTTGACCACTTCTGGACACGACGCTGCTGCAACCGGTACCTGCAAGCTAAAAAGACGATTACTACGCGTATACAGTTGTTTATTACTTTACTCACCCGGCTCACCGGATAGACAAGTTACTGAAACGTACGAAAAATACTGCTTTATATTTTTATTGTTATTATTTACACTTTTGTACAACTTTTGCACACTTTTTTACGGACAAAGTTATTATAATTTATAAAATACTTACCAGCGGTTATACGAACACCACTGTTTAGGCGACGCGCACCTATGATGTCATCATGTTAGGCTTCTGGACTCCAATGACCAGCTGCACAGCGACGAAGTCCAGCAGATGTCCCCTTCTATTAGGAGCCCTCCTGCCCACGGAGAGCAGCGTCGGTGAGTCGGAGACAAGGAAAGCTGGGCTTTCTTTTGGATCTAGCTCAACCCCGCCGCAGACTTCAAAAACTAAGCCGCCTTAAAAAAAAAGTCAACTAAAAAGTTTTAAAATAATTATGTTATTTTATTCATTAGTACAAAATATTATACCCATGATTGATATTTTTGGAGTTGGTGCCGGTAAATTTTAGTACCTACATTTCTTGAACTTGGCATTTGGCAGACTGGCATCGATTTATTTTTATACTTTTTAGTGGACTTTTCTTGAAGGCCGCTTATTTTTTGAAGCTGTTTTTTTTAAACGTAGTACCTATTTTATTTTTATAATGTAAATTAGTGTTTTTTCGTTTTACTGACAGGTGAAATGTTTTATGACTTCTATGGCTATGGCTGAATGATGATGTAACTACGTTGGGGAACGTCGTTGGCGGTCTAGTTACGAGTTTTTCATTTTTAACAATAATTATGTTAAAAAGGCAGTCAGAATGAGAGAGGATAGAAAATACCCTACAAAAGAAATATTATAATATTAATAAATTGCTTGCAACATTAAACTAAGTCACGTGTTTGTAAAACGGCTTGAGCAATCCCGTGTGCACCTACCGTCTTTAACAAGAGTCCAAGTTGCTAGGATGCAAAGTGTTTTAATCAACTGAAAAACAGGTGAGGATTAGATATGAAACTTATAGGTTTACCTTCATACTACCAGGGCCACAACTAACTCCTTTAACAACAAGCTGGTCTCGAATTGTTGAACACTTTTAATTTAGCTTATAAATAAATTATGTAATAAGCCTTCTATCATTGCATAATGATTCTCAAGTCGTATTCAATGATCATCTGCTCAGTATTGAAATTAATAAATAAAATCAGTTTTTTCCCAATGAACTGTACACGATTAGTGATAAGATTGTATGTTTGAATGTATAAATATGAGTGGAAATAATTAATTGCGCATCAGTCGAGCGATAAACGAGATGCTGGTGCTACGAGTCGCAGTCGTGCTGGCGCTGTGCGCGTGCGCCGCGAGCGACCGCTACCACGCCGAGCCGCCCGCGCGCGCCGCCGCCGCGCCCGCGCCGCGCCAAGCCGAGCTCACCAAGGCCTACTGGTACGACGAGGCGCAGGCCGCCATCGAGAAACGCGCACGTCGCTCTGCCGGCAAGGGCAAAGCCAAAAACATAGTTTTCTTCTTGGGGGACGGCATGTCCATACCGACGCTGGCCGCCGCCCGAACGCTGCTTGGACAGAGACAGGGACGTACCGGCGAAGAGAGTGAGCTTTCGTTTGAGTCATTTCCGTCTGTTGGTTTGAGTAAGGTACGTTGATCGGTCTTAATGAATTTGTACCTTAGGCGATCTAGATACGACTACGCAGGTGTCTTTCTGTTCACAGACATATTGCGTCAACCATCAGATTGCGGATTCAGCGTGTTCAGCGACGGCGTACCTTTGTGGGGTGAAGAACAACTACGGCACGCTGGGTCTCACGGCTGCAGTTGCGCGTCACGATTGCGAAGCATCTCTCGATGCTAGTACACATTTGGAGTCGATTGCAGCTTGGGCGATCCAGGATGGACGCGATGCAGGTGAGTATTTTTTAAAATATGAATCCTAACACATTTATTTCTACATATAAAATATTGTAATAATAAAAACTTGATTGCTGATCAGGTGTAGTGACTAATACGCGCATCACTCACGCGTCGCCCGCGGGCCTGTACGCCAAAGCAGCAAACCGCAACTGGGAGAGAGACGAGCAGGTCACAGCGGCCAACGTAAACATCAGCTCTTGCCCCGACATTGCTCATCAACTGATACATCATTATCCCGGAAATGAGTTTAAGGTGAGAATTTTATTGATCATTAATATACTTCTTGATTTTTTCTCCACTTTTTTGTATTAAACATGTGTTAGGCAAATGAATATATATTTTATTTTTTAAGTACTGTGTTGACAGGTTATATTAGGTGGAGGAAGGCGGGAATTTTACCCAAACACTATCAGGGATGATGAAGATAGTCTAGGTAGAAGAACTGATGATCGTAATCTGGTTGAAGAATGGTTTGAGGAAAAACGCAGCCGTAATGCTACTTATGAATATCTGTGGAACAGAAGTCAATTGAAGGATGCCCTCAATAATCCACCAGATTACATCTTAGGATTGTTTGAGGACACTCACATTCCCTATCATGCAGAGGCAAATAATGAGACAGAACCTACACTAGCCGAGATGACCGAACTGGCAATTAAGACTTTGCAACGCAACGAGAACGGCTTCTTCCTGTTCGTGGAGAGCGGACGCATCGACCACGCACACCACGACAACTACGTGGAGCTCGCGCTGGACGAGACCATCCGCCTGAGCGACGCCGTGACGGTCGCCACCGAGCTGCTGTCCGAGGAGGACTCGCTCATCGTGGTCACGGCCGACCACGCGCACGTGATGGCCTTCAACGGCTACACGCAGCGCGGCGGCTCCATCGTGGGCCGCTCCGACTACACCGGCCAGGACGGCGTGCCCTACATGACTATCTCTTACGCCAACGGCCCGGGCGCGCGCGCGCAGACCGACGGCGTGCGGGTTGACGTTACAGCCGAGGAGAACTTCGGTGCGTACACAGCTGGTTTTCATTGCCTTTTTGCTGATGCTTCAAACTCGTGCCCTGTGACAGACACAGGGCCAAAGATGCAGATGAATAATAATAATTGTATTATAATATACGTATTTTGATCTGTATTTTGTCATGAAATGTTTTGTTTTAGGCGATCTCCGCTGGCGATCGCACGCCGAAGTGCCGCTGAGCTCGGAGACGCACGGCGGCGACGACGTGGGCGTGTTCGCGCGCGGGCCGCACCACGACTTGTTCACGGGCGTGTACGAGCAGAGCCAGCTGCCGCACCTCATGGCCTACGCCGGCTGCTTCGGGCCGGGCGCGCACGCCTGCAACGCCGCGCCTGTTCTCGCCAACACGATCGCTTTCACTTCACTCCTGGTCGTTCTACTGGCAATTCAGCGCTTTCTTTGTTTATAATTTATTTTCATTTATTAACAACAACTGTGACAGTGAAAACAAGATAAAAAACGGGGCTGTGAATTTATTTATTATTTTTTTATGAATAGAACGATAGAACCAATTACACTATTCAAACAAGTATTATTTGTATAATACCGATAATTATATTATATCCTTGTATATTTTTCAACTGCGTCATCTAGTCCTAAACTTTGTAAGGAACTGAAGCCATTGATCCCATTGCAGTACGTGTTAAGAACCATATTATGTACCTAAGGCAGCACTTAGATAAAAAAATGTTGTAAATATTGGTTTAAAGTATGTCTTGCTTCCTACTATAATATTATAAATGCGAAAGTTTGGATGTCTGGATGTTTGTTACTTTTTCACGCAAATAGTACTGAACGAATTTTGATGAAACTTTACAGTATTATTGTTTACAACCCAGAATAACATATAGGCTATAATTCATAACGATCTGTGACAAACTAAGTTTCACGCGGGTGAAACCGCGGGCAAAAGCTAGTATTAAATAAGTAAAAATTAGTAGTTAGTTCACTAAACATTAGCAACATTTTGAATGTAGCGTTGTGTGAAAGTTTCCTCATCAGCCAGATACTTTTGATCGTTCCTTCTCCTTACCAGACAGCTTTTAGGTGCGAACGCGAGCCACTATAAAGATAGTTTTTCGGATTTTTTTTTTAAGTTACTACCTAAGTATTTGCGTCTGTAAATCATCATCTCATGATGATGAGCTGATGATGGAAGGTAAAAGTACAACTCCTTAACGCTTAGGAGTTGGAGGATAATACAAGCGGCCGCCCGCGACTTCGTACGTGTGGATTCCGTTTTACCCCCTTGGGGGTAGAGTTTCGTAAAATCCTTTCTTAGTGGATGCCTACGTCATAACATCTACCTGCATGCCAAATTTCAGCCCGATCCGTCCAGCGGTTTGGGCTGTGCGTTGATAGATCACTATGTCAGTCAGTCAGTCAGTTAATCAGACAGTCAGTCACCTTTGAGTTATATAATTATAGTTTCTAAAGTTTGTTTGGGTATTTGCATCAGCTAGTCATTATTTCATGTTGATGGAAGGTACAACTTCCTTCAGTTAGGAGTTGGAGGATAATTCTTATAATGTTGTAGGTACGTATAGACTGACAAATGTATTCTTTCGGGTTATTAGGGTGAGCTGATGATGGAATGCAAAACTTCGCAAAATGGCTAGTTAAAGAGTGACTTATTATGTGTGCATGCATTGATTAATTAACAAACAGGCGCAGAGGAAATAAAAACTGCGCCGAGAATCATCGCGCTCGAGCTAGTTCTTTCATCTATAAAATTTGAAGATTATTTTCAAATAATAAAAAACACAAATTAAAAATACAGATTTTTCTCAAAAATGACATTTTATTATTACTTGTGGGTGTTTTATGCATTTTATTAGTATTGCCTGTTATTAAGCATTGTTACTGTTTTTAATTTATCAGGTTAAACCTCTTAGTTTAAAAGTTATAACGTTTTCTTTACAAAAAGTAACCGAAAGAAAAAAAAATTATAAAAAAATCTCAGATAATTATTTTTTGTCATTTTTTCCTTCGATAAAAGTAGATCTAGTTTCAATAATATTTTCATATGCACTTCATCAAGACACTGTATAATTCGAGATATCACATTGTGTCGTCGCAAGTGGACGATTATGCAGGAGGTATATTGTCAGCTTACAATTGTTTTAAATGAGATAATTACTCAGAAAATTAGTTTTGTACTAGTTAATAAATAAATAATAATTCAATAGTATTATCAATAAATTAAAGAAAATCACATATTACTAAGCACTAATTCAATAATAGTCTCTACGTTCGTAAGATTTGGCATAGAGTAATCAATGCCAGCAAAAAGTACGGAATGTGAGTNATGTGAGTGGCAGGGCCCGCGTTGCAGGCGTGCGGGCCCGGCCCGAAGCAGCCGGCGTAGGCCATGAGGTGCGGCAGCTGGCTCTGCTCGTACACGCCCGTGAACAAGTCGTGGTGCGGCCCGCGCGCGAACACGCCCACGTCGTCGCCGCCGTGCGTCTCCGAGTCCAGCGGGATCTCGACGTGGGCCCGCCAGCGCCTGCCGCCGAAGTCGTCCTCCGTCGTCACGTCGGGGCGGGTGCCGTTCACCTGCTGCCGCGCGCCCGGCCCGTTCGTGTACGACAGCGTCATGTAGGGCACGCCGTCCTCGTCCCGGTCGTCGGAGACGCCGAGGATGTCCCCGCCGCGCTGCGTGTAGCCGTTGAAGGCCATCACGTGCGCGTGGTCGGCCGTGACCACGATGAGCGAGTCCTCCTCGGACAGCAGCTCGGTGGCGACCCGCACCGCCTCGCTCATCTGGATGGTCTCGTCCAGCGCGAGCTCCACGTAGTTGTCGTGGTGGCCGTGGTCGATGCGCCCGCTCTCCACGAACAGGAAGAAACCTTTCTCGTTGCGGCTCAAGGACTTAATCGCTATTTCTGTTAGCTCCGCGAGTGTGGGCTCGGTAACGTTGTTGGCTTCCAAGTGGTACTGCATGTGGCTGTTCTCAAATAGACCCAGCAGATAGTCCGGTAACGACGATGACACGTTCATCAACTGGTCCCTATTCGAAACGTAAGCATAGCTCGCACCTTGTGCTGCTTTGTTTTCTTGCCACTCTTCGATTAAGTTACGATTGTCGTGGCGAACACCGGGCGAACCTTCCTCATCGGTGAAGTTGAAAGGCAAGAATTCTCTTCTTCCGCCACCCAATATAACCTGTGGAAATGAACATTGTGTAGGTATTTAATGAATTTTCTTAGTATCATTATTTATTTATTACGGTCTATGATGTATGAATTTAGGTACGTTTGTAATTTTGTTGCGAGAGACCAAAAGTAAGTCCCACGATATATAAATAAAAAAATACAGAAATAAAAAATCTAATTTGTTTTAAATTAATGCTTCGACAGTTGGTATCAGTTTTTCTTGAATAGTAACTACTAGCTTTCCGCCCGCGGCTTCGCCCGCGTGGAATTTTGTCACAGAAAAACTTTATAGCGCGCGTCCCTGTTTCAAAAACCGGGATAAAAACTATCCTATGTTCTTTCCCGGGACTCAAACTATCTCTATGCCAAATTTCATCAAAATCGGTTGCGAGGTTTAAGCGGGAAAGCGTAACAGACAGACAGACAGACAGACAGAGTTACTTTCGCATTTATAATATTAGTTGGGATGAAATAAATGAACCTCACCTTGAACTGATTCCCTGGGCTCGTGTGGACGAGCTGGTGCGCGATGTCGGGGCAGCGCGCGGGGTCGGCGCCGTCCTCGCGCACGGCGTCGTCGTTCTCCCAGTGGCGGTTGGCCACGCTGGCGTACGCGCCCGCCGGCGAGGCGTGCGTGACGCGCGTCGTGGTCACCACGCCTGTGCCATAAAACACGTCATACCAAAATCTCCTAACAACGTGACAATTAGTAGTCCTAATCGCAACTTAGCATCCTGTATACTTTTAATATAAAATTGCGCCTGGATTTAACCGACCTGCATCTCGTCCGTCCTTCAGCGCCCACGCTGCGATAGATTCGACATGGGTATCGGGGTCAGTGGAGGCATTGCAGTCCCATCGCGGTACGTCACCGTTGACGCCGATAGTGCCTCGGTTGGCCTTCACGCCGCAAAGGTACGCGGTTGCCGTGCAAGCTGAATCTGCAATCTGGGCGTCCAGGCAGTACGTCTGAAACGTATTATGTTTCATTAAGTACGTTTCATCAATAAGTTATGCATAAAGAAATAGTTTGCAGACTTTAAAAGCTTATGAAAAAAAAAAATGAGATTTAATATATAATAAACCTTAGAAAAACCTGAAGTGGGGAAGGCTTCGAAAGAAAGCTGCGCCTCCTCGCCGGTTTGGCCGTTGCGCTGACCGAGGAGGGTGCGCGCGGCCGCGAGCGTGGGCACGGACATGCCGTCGCCCAGGAACATGACGACGTTGCGCGCCGCGTTGCGGTTGTTGCGGCGCCGCACGCGCTCGTCGATGGCGGCCGCGGCCTCGGCGGCCCAGTGCGCCGGGTCGCGCTCGGCGGCGGAGGAGCGCGCGGCCGCGCGGCCGGGCCCGGGCCCCGCGCGCGCGTCCGGGTGGTAGCGGTCGCGCACCGCGCCGCGCGCCAGCACCACCAGCACCAGCGTCGTCAGCAACACAGCACCGCGCATTTCGGAAGGACGCGGCTGCGCCCGCGAGCGCTGCTTTTATTACCTAGCCTGATATCTAATCAAAAATACTGTAAAAACAAAATTGCTCAATCTCATTTATAAAAATATTTTCTTTATCTTGAGATTACCATATTCAATTATTGAGACTTCGATTTAAATTTCGTATAATAAAGACATAATGCAGACATTTTGGCTACGTGACTACTAAGGTGCAGGTGATGTAAAGGCAACAAGTTCGTTAGCCAAGTCGAAAAACATGCCTGTAAGAAAAAACTATGATTAAGTAACACAATCTACGCTTGCAATCGAACCCACCATTTGGTAACTTTAAAAATTAATGTATTATCTAAGTCTACTAGAATCTCATGGCATCAAAAATATTGGAAAAGTGTGATTTTCATATGGCAACGTTTATTGTAACCTGTCAAAGCATTACGAGATCTGTCAAGCGCTGCGGAAAATTGATATCTAACTAGATCATGTCTGTGAACAGGCGCTGCCTTCGGGGACTGGTCAAGGAAAGATATACCTGACATAAAATGGTAGCGCATTTTCTTACATAACTTTTCAATTCCTATCATTGGAGGTCCGAAAATATTTCTCATACAATTTGATACCATAATGATCATTCTTCATAAAAAATTTAAAACCTACATATTTAAAAACATAATCATTGATATTCATAATATCACTAATCATACACTTAGTTTTTACTAATATATGATTTCATATATTTTTCTATACTAATGATCGAAACTCATAATCATTCGAATAAATAACTATAATATTCATAAATGTGATGTATCCTAATATTTGNGGGCGAACTTTCCTCATCGGTGAAGTTAAAAGGTAAAAATTCTCTTCTTCCACCACCCAATATAACCTGTGGAGACAAAGACGTAGTGTATGGTAAATCCCAAATAACTAGGCGGTCGAAAAGGTTTGGTTGTTTTGTTACATTTAATAAATTTGCATTGCAGTTTTCTACAATGCCTAATGTACTAATTTGGATATCCAAATCTATGCTTTGGCACTTAAGTCTCACCTTGAACTGATTCCCTGGGCTCGTGTGGACGAGCTGGTACGCGATGTCGGGGCAGCGCGCGGGGTCGGCGCCGTCCTGGCGCACGCTCTCGTCGTTCTCCCAGTCCCTGTTGGCTATGTTTGCGAATGCACCCGCGGGCGACGCGTGCGTGACACGGGTCGTGGTCACTATGCCTTCAAGACACACGTAATTATATTAATTCATGAAACCAAAAACTTTAAGTCTAAGATTGATCATTATTTTCTAATACGGGACATTGATAAAATTCACTACTGGTCTCATAAAGATATGAACTCAGTTGAGCAGGATGCCCACTTTTTAGTATAGTGCGAAATTGCGTCTAGTATAAACCCACCTGCATCTCGTCCGTCCTCTAGCGCCCACGCCGCGATCGACTCGACGTGGTTGTCGGTGTTGAAGGAGGCGTCGCAATCCCTTCGCACTACGTTACCATTCAAACCGATTGTGCCTATATTAGCCTTTACGCCGCAAAGGTATGCGGTCGCTGTGCATGCTGAATCTGCGATTTGAGCGTCCAGGCAATAAGTCTGAGACATTAGAAATATTTTATATAATTATTATCAATTTATAGGAATAGAAATTAGTAAATAGCCATAAAAAATAAATTACTGATAATAAAACATATTTAAGAATAGTCATGATTTACTAATTGATAGAAAAATATCAGATGAGTACCTTAGAAAAACCTGAAGTGGGGAAGGCCTCGAAAGAAAGCTGAGCCTCCTCGCCGGTTTGGCCGTTGCGCTGGCCGAGGAGGGTGCGCGCGGCCGCGAGCGTGGGCACGGACATGCCGTCGCCCAGGAACATGACGACGTTGCGCGCCGCGTTGCGGTTGTTGCGGCGCCGCACGCGCTCGTCGATGGCGGCCGCGGCCTCGGCGGCCCAGTGCGCCGGGTCGCGCTCGGCGGCGGAGGAGCGCGCGGCCGCGCGGCCGGGCCCGGGCCCCGCGCGCGCGTCCGGGTGGTAGCGGTCGCGCACCGCGCCGCGCGCCAGCGCCGCCAGCACCAGCGTTGTCAGCAACACAGCACCGCGCATTTCGGAAGGACGCCGCTGCCCCCAAGAGCGCTGCTTTTATTACCTAGCCTGATATCTAATCACATGAATACTGTAAAATGTAAGTTACTCAATCACGTTTATGACTAGGTACGAATAAAATTGTTTTCCTTATCTGATGATTACCATATTTATCGATAGTTCGATCAAAATTTCATATAATAATGGTTTGCTGATATTCATGCACGATTGAACACAGAGATTATGGTTGCGCGTTTCTTAGCGTAGGTGGCGTGGAGCAGAGCCATCAAGTAGCATCAAATTAAAATTAAAATAAAACGGGATTCAAAATATTCGTACTAACTTAAGTATTTTACTGACGCGGGGGTGTCGTATTTCTTTTACTCGTAACCATCCGGTGATCCGTCTGCTCGTTTGCCTCCTGTCACATAAAAAAAAAATACCTAAAAAAACGCGAGCTGTATAGATAAACTATGTATTGTGTAATAAATAGCTTCAAATCTTAAGTGTTAAGTGTTAACGATAAGTAATCTCACATGATTATTTCTAAACTATACAATATATCGAAAAACTGGTCCTGGATCCTGAAAGTGCTTCACAAGTTCTATCAAACGATACCAATAATAGGTTACAGAATAAATTGAATCTTAAAAAAAATGTTTCCAGCTTCTGGGGTGAGTTTTTTTTTGTTCAATATTAATAATGGCAGCAGCTTGTAATATTCACAGAATATTTAATTTTTGTTGTACATTAACTTTGAAAATGAATAATCAAATATTAAAATGAAATAATTACAAATACTTAATTTTAAGGGGGGCGCTCTCACCATAACATGAAAAGCGTTGTTGTACGGAATAGTATTGTATTTATAAATCTTCAATCATTCAAAGAAAAATACAGGGTGACTTTGAAATCATTGGCATCCTTTTAAAATAAGGCTCTACTCATGATATAGTACATTCCAAATATGAGACAAATCCAATGAGTTAAAATTTTAATATTTAGGCTGGGTTTTTACTTTACATTAACTTTGACAAACGTCAAAAATCTGTCAAACTCCATACAAAAAACACCGGTTATCGTTTTGTTAAGGCCAAATTATGGTGGTGCAACTCAGCCTTAAAACTTTGTACAGACGACACCATATCAAGCTTAATACTGTGGCATCTTATTTCGATGTACTATCAGCAGCAGTGTTAACTATCCATTGCCTGTCATATCGTCTCGTTCTATCTCAAAGAATTGCCATTTGATGAGAGTGAGAGCAAAAACGGAAATGGATAGTTAACAGTGTGGCCGTGTATACATAATATTAAGTGTCATTTTGCAATAAAATGTATAGGCTGATGTGCTCTTGACTGTACAATTGTTTTAATAAACTCTTTATAAGAGCATACTAATAGAAATACATAGTAAAAATAATGACAAAAAAAGTCATCGGATTTGTCTCATTTAGGGAATGCACTATGCATCATGAGTATAGTCTTATATTAAAAAGAAGCCAACGATTTAAAAGTCACCCGGTAAAATAAATGAGTAATAAAAATACGGAAATTTTCTTTTTTGGCATTCTTTTATTCTACCAGCGCTTCGAGGCAGACTGTACAATTCATCCACACCGCTGCAACGAAGTCACCACTGTCTGCTTATAATTAAGAGTATCAAATAGTAGGTAGGTATTTCTCACGCATTTTTGTATCAGAACAGAACCAACCTATATAACTATTTTTATTGAAGAATTTTATTGAAGAATATTAATATACAAAAATAATTTGTGTACAAAAAAGAATATAATTATCTTTAAACTGTAATCACTTCAACTTACAGTTACAATACAATACAGAGAGATTGACAAAAGGTAACTCCACCCGTCACTCTTTTGGCACTCCCTTGAATGGAAAACACGTAAAATTAAAAGATCAATAAATTAAATAAAATCACATCTACTCGTAAGAAGCCTAAGTCTCGAATGAACATGCGTCTTCTGGGCAATTTCGCTCTACTATCCATCTGCACCCCTCCGAAGAGATTGTAATCAAGAGCAAGCCCGTATTACATTAAAAAAAACTGGGCACTAATTCAATAATCGTGTACGTACTACAGTCGTAAGATTTGACATAGAGTAANTCTACAAAAAGAAGTGAAAAATGTTCAACGGCCAAGTCACACAACATTAATTATAATAATAAAGAAATCGCAGTAAGGAACCATAGACTTGGCACGACTTTGTCTAGATTTCATTACTTTTTAGAGATAAACAAGCAGCTCCATCGAGACTTGGCTAGTTTTTTACAGAATGTTTTTAGTGGGATACAATCTACGCTTGCAATCGAACCCACCATTTGGTAACTTTAAAAATAATGTATTATCTAGGTCTACCAGAATCTCATGGCATGAAAAATATTGGAAAAGTGTGATTTTCATATGGCAACGTTTATTGTAACCTGTCAAAGCATTACGAGATCTGTTAACCGCTGCGGAAAATTGATATCTAACTAGATCTAAAGTACCTAAGAAGCGATACCAAATGTAAACAAACCCAATGTCATAGTCATTTGCAATAGTGGGTTGCACCACCTATCTTTAACGGTAACTATGACGATAACCGGTGCTTTTTGTATGGAATTTGACAGATTTTTGACGTTTGTCAAAGTTAAAGTGAGATGGTGCAACCCAGCCTAAAAGTTTGACTTTGACATATTTTGGCGGGAGAACGAGACATTACGACAAATACCTACACAAGATGGGAAGAGACAGAATAGATTGTCAGTTCGACAGTCGAATCGACCTTTTGGATCGCTGCTAGTTGGCTGTACTTTAACTTAATTAATTACCATTTGTTATTTTTGTGAAAAAATCGAAAAAGCCACTCGACCTCAAACGTAATTCAAACTCAATTTTTGATTTTAAAACGCGTCGTTGAGTTGACTGGTAAGTTGGACTGAAATGTATTGATACATTAGATTATTACCCGACTGCTTCAGAAGAAGGGTTATGTTTTATAGATGGCTATTGCTTTAGTCTCTAATACATGTTGTTTGCACCTTTAATTAAATTTGCATTTAATCACTGTCGTTTTTGTAAGTTACATATTATTATTGTGAACGCTACAATGTAACCTGGTGATAAAATAAATAAATAAATATTGTTCTTTCTTGAAAGCTTCATAAATCGGGGTTTTCAGGTGTAAATGGTGCAGAAGAATGGCGAAAATGTTATAACCATGTAAAAAACGTTTTCACAATTTCATCAAGCAAGATTGTACATTCTAATTGAAGTGCTGTAAGAGCGATTTATTTTATTTTATTCAGAACACAGAAAACACATGAACAACAGTGTTTCAGTGTTTTTCTTGACTTGAATGTAAGGATATTATGAAGTTATTAATTTATCGAAATTAAGGACTTAGTCGCAAGTTTTGAAATATCATTAACAGTTACATATACCCAGTAGGTACCTAAGAAAATACATAAAAAGAGCAAAATCCCTATAGGTTTTGTATTTATTCCAGTGCAATTGCAGGCTAGATGTTAATTTATATAATGTGTAGTATGTACAATATGCAATCTGAACCGGCATTACGGGACAGGAGGCTCACACGAGTGGGAATTGCGACAAAGACGAGGCGGCCGCCGGTGACAAGATTGTTGTGATTCAATCAACGTTCGCAGAGGGAGGACGGCGGGCAAGGAGGGTGCAAGCTAAGGCGCCATTCATACGGAGGTTCACACTATTATCAAAACAACTCTGAAGTAATTTCACTGTTAATTTATTAGCTATAAAGTTGATACATTAATTTGGTTAAAAAAATAGCAATAAGTGCTTACAGTTCACGCAGAGTCCCTTTCGTTCGTTTCAGCCAAATGACGTCCACTGCTGGACAAAGGCCTCCCCCAAGGTTTTCCACAATGAACGGTCCTGCGCTGCCCTTTATAGACGTGAATTCGACATTATACGCTTGATGTACGCTGTTCATGTGCACAGGCTCTAGCACTATCAGTAACAGCAAAATATAGCGTGAAATATTGTTTGTTTATTCATAACTAGATGTTTACTCCGTTTTTACTGATAGACATAACCTTTAAGCAACCACTGGGTAGGTCAGTAGAATAAAACATAAAAATGAATTAAATCGGAAATAATTCCTACTAAAGATTTTAGTGCTTTAATGGCTTCATTAGTTGCCCATAAAGACTCTCCTAGGTTTTCGACTTCGACGGAGTTGTGCTTAAGTGGTGGGGGCTACCCGAAAGTGGCGCTTTTACGGCTTTCCGGTTATACCGCGTAAAGGACTTACCCTATCGAAAAGTGGTCTTCCTGACGGTTGAAGGGCATTTCTTCCTTAAATAATTTTAATTTTTGGCGTCGAACCTTAGACCAGGTTTTCGAACGAGTGCACCAGTGCGCAGCGCTCCTTACTCGGCGCTCGGCCACTCGGGCCAGGGATTACCGCGGGGCGGCGCCTGCACTTGATTAGCTCATGCATGCAAGTTGTTATTCAGCGTGCACGTATTGTGTTTGCTGCCGAGCTTTGCTGCGAGGCGGTCTCGAGTTAACTGTCCGGTGAATTCATGAATTACGTCTATTTACTATGGGCTTTGATATGACCTAGATTATAACTGTCGACCATCAGCCATTTGTATTCAGATTTGTATTTCAAATCCAATTGATGTCGGATTCAATTCACATAATGATAATAATAAGCAGTTACCTACTATACAAATGTTATGCTAACTAGAGTTCAAACTTTATAATAAAAAATGAATCAAGTACAATCGATCTTGGATTTGTGTTTAAATCAAATAGTTACCATTTCTAAAACTCTTCTTACTTTGTTAATACATAATTGCAATAATGATGAAATAACGTCATAAATGTTATTAAATGCATGAAGACTAATGACGTCATTGTTGATCGTACGAAAAAAAGGTGTCAATACCACGCGTGATAGTTCAACTGCTGGCCAGCCTAGCCGCGCCGCAGCAGCGACGTTGCGTCGATTTTTCATCAAAGGCCCATTACCCGCGCGGAGGAGCCGCCAGCCACCAGCCACCAGTCGCCTGCGCGGCGCGGGGTAATGGCGCGGCAAAATTGGCACAACTAGCCGACTACTTACACGTTTTTATTGCGTTACACACTCAACTCAAATTACCTTCCCACAACCGATATGTCAAGGGAACCTACTTATATTTATATGTCGATGACACTATAGCCATTAATCCTACTTGGATTTTTATTTACAGCTGTACAATTAATAGTGCTCGTAAAAGATTTACCTACATAAATTCTCCCACAACAAACGCCACAGTAGCCAAAAGGAAACATCGCAAACAAATCTCCTTCTGGATCTATTCCAAGACCTATCCTACGATGAACAATAAATACTACAACTCTGCGATTTTATTTATTTTTATATTAAGATAATGTAAGAACTCAAAACTTTTGATAAAATGCCTAGATAAGTATTAGCACAGAATCATAATAAGTACTAGAATAATAGTAACTACTTATTTACCTCTCAGTGTCTTGAGGCAACTTAAAAAAGTACATTCTGTGTTTTTATTATTATTTAGGCAGTTAAATACTGCACAGTATTTAGTACACCATTTTCTTCCATCATACACAAGAATACGCGTATGTGAGGCCTTGTCGAATAGTATCCTGTAGGTGGGCCATCGTGCGTGTTTTGTTTTCGATGTAAACTCGCGGAGATGAACAGGCCTGGTATTAGTAAGTAGGTATGTCATATTTGTCATGTACCTACTAAGAACAGAAAAGTGAAGGTGATAGGGGCGAGACGAAAATGTAGGCACATTTTTTGAGGCTATAGAACGCTCAATGAGCGTTTTTGTTCTTACGAGTATATTGAAGTCTGAGGAATGTTGAAGAAATAGATACCTAATAATATCGAAAATATTTTTAGAATGGGATCTGGATTTCTATAGGAACATTATCGGCAATATCTATCTTATCTGACAATGAATTTTCAAATTAGACTTATCGTAACATTTCAATGTCAATAATAATTTTATCAGGAGTGTACGCGATGGTGGATGGGATGCTGCGGGCGACAGTTGCTCTCGGGCCGGACGCTCAACCATGTTGCGACTCCTGCTTGTCTTAGCTGCGCTAACGCACCTTTCATTTGGTAAATTCTTTATTTTTTTTTTACTAAAAACAAACAGCATTTTTGTAGCATTGAATCTTATAGATTTCCGTTTGTGGTGTGGTTATAAAATCATTAAAAGTGCGCTAATATGAGTAAATGCTTAATTTTTTTTATAGTGATTTGACTACTCGTTGCTCGGTTTCTCTTCTAGAGCGCGATGTGTACCATCCTTCGTTGCGCAGCTCTGCCTCGGAGGCGCTGCTTAGCAACAAAGCGGAGATGCAACCATCGTACTGGGCGGAGGAGGCTCGCGCGGGCATCGAGCGGCGGCTGCGGCGGCGCGGCGGGCCGCGCGGGCGCGCGCGCAACGTCGTCATGTTCCTGGGCGACGGCATGTCCGTGCCCACGCTGGGCGCCGCGCGCGCGCTGCTCGGCCAGCGACAGGGGCTCACTGGGGAAGAGGCACAGCTTTCTTTTGAACAGTTCCCTACTGTAGGACTATCCAAGGTTAGTTGTTAAAACCTTTGTGCAATTGTGCAATTCGGGTCGAACTAGACTTCTTTTCCAAGTGCGCGCGAATTTCTTGCGCGCTTTGGAGAGAGGACCTCACTGATGGGGCCTGTAGAGTGAGGCTGCGGCCGTTGCGTGGGGGCATGCATGCGAACGATTCTCCGACTCGTATGCTGCCCCACTAAGCGTGACCAGAGGGACCCGACTGGTTTTTAGAGGGTAGGCCTTGCCCCTCAGGCGAGGAGAGCCCCACATACAACAACTAATCGGCTCCCCCGGGCTGGTATGTAGTTCTATGCATTTTCCAGTCGAAAAAAAAACTTCTTTTCCAAAGTTCACTTGTTTTTGCAAAGTGTTGTTGATTTTCCAACGAGATATTAGATTTTAAGAATGAAATCTCTTTCAGACGTACTGCGTGGACGCGCAGATAGCAGACTCGGCGTGCACAGCGACGGCGTACCTGTGCGGCGTGAAGACGAACTACGGCACCATCGGCGTGACGCCGGCGGTGGCGCGCCGCAACTGCTCGCACGCCGCCGACCCCGCCACGCACGTGCGCTCCATCGCCGCCTGGGCGCTCGACGCGGGCAAGGACGCGGGTACGTGCTGTACACAGCCCTGTGACCACTAATCACGCAGAACTGATGACCGATCAGATAGAACAGGTCACTTATCGGCAAGCACAGCAATCATTAAGACCTATTTTAAGTAGTGAACATTCTGTGGCGATGATGACAAAATTTTATTGTGTACCTACAATTGTCCAAGCTCTTCATATTTATTTTAAATACCTAATTTGAATAAGAATCGTAACAAAGCCGGAATATTGTTTGTGAATGATTTTATCATAGGAAACTACAATAATCAAGATATAGTGCGCGTTTTATGAACCCTTTATCAGTATTAACAAGTTCTTTATCATAAAGCAGATTAAGTATATTTTCCGCAAAATACAGTAATGTTTTATGATAGTTTTTTGTAGAGATGGGCCGACTAGTCGCCGACTAGTCGGGAAAGCCGACTATTCGTCAATATTTGAGGTCGGCCGACTACTGACGACTATTCGGCAAAATATGCCGATTATAATCGGCGCATTACAAAATTAAATCTATACTTATAATAAATCTGTAGAGAGCTCAATTCTGTACATGAAATATATTTTCAAAATAACTATCAGGGGGTGATTTTTTGTAATTTTTGTTGTTTTTAGTATGATTAGGTGCAACAAGTAGGTAGAACTTGAAACTTAACCGTCGATATTACAGGGCCGAGAAATCGTAGTTTTTACCCGACTGCGCAAGTAGGAGGGTTATATTTTTTTTTAAGGTTATATTCTGCGATAACTGTGATAACGGCGACAAACTGTGATAACTTATTAGAAAATTCTCGACCGTTTAGTGAGATATTTCAGCAATGTGCTCAATTATGGCTCATGGCAGGCATCGTGACGACGACGCGCGTGACGCACGCGTCGCCGGCGGGCGCGTACGCGCACACGGCGCAGCGCGACTGGGAGGACGACGCCGAGCTGCGGCTGGAGTGCGGCGACGCCGACCCCGCCGCGCGGCAGCGGGACATCGCGCACCAGCTCGTGCACTCCGCGCCTGGCAACCAGTTTAAGGTTACCACTGTTCTTAAAACATTCATACAACATTCGTTATCATAATGATAATAAATTGATTCACAAATTTCATTTTTAATTAATTTAATTTACATACTTACAGGTAATCTTGGGAGGAGGAAGGCGTGAGTTTCTACCGAACACGATGGTGGACGAAGAAGGAACTCCTGGCAAAAGAGCAGATGGAAATAACTTAATCGAAGCATGGGAAGCAGATAAACGAGAACGTAATGTTTCTTACCAATATGTATGGAACCGCAAGCAGTTGATGCAGTTATCTCTTTCTCCACCGGAGTATCTCCTCGGTCTCTTTGAAGGCAATCACATGCAATACCATATGCAAGCGGACCCTGAAACTGAGCCAACTCTGGCCGAGTTGACGGAGATAGCGATCAGGTCTTTGAACAGAAACGAGAATGGGTTTTTCCTGTTCGTGGAAGGAGGGCGCATTGACCACGCGCATCACGATAACTACGTAAGCTTGGCGCTCGACGAGACGCTGGAGCTGAGCCGAGCGGTGGCGCGCGCGGCCGAGCTGCTCTCGGAGGAGGACTCGCTGCTGGTGGTGACGGCGGACCACGCGCACGTGATGGGCTATAGCGGCTACACGCACCGCGGGAGCGACATCCTCGGGCTGTCCGACGACCGCGGCGACGACGGCCTGCCCTACACGACGCTGTCTTACATCAACGGGCCTGGCTACCGTCCGCCCGTGGATGGTCATCGTGACGACGTTTCTCAATACGACTATAGTATGTATTGAGTAAAAATTTCTAAATCCGATTTTATTTTAACAAAATATGTAGGTAGGTACTTTTGTCAGGATCCAGTCATTCGTATTATAACATGTTTTGAAGCTTTTAAAGTTACGACGCTGTTGAGCGAGCCTTCAATTTTGAAGTTGTTTAGAGTTTTTCTATTTTATTTTATTTTATTTTATTTTATTTTGTTTGGAAAACATACAGTGAAACAATAACAGATTATCAACCACTGCTTGAGAAACTATACACCATTTACATGTTTTCGCATATGTGTAACAATACAATTCAACAACAAAAGCCAATTCGCTTACATGAGAGTACTATGTACCTACTGTATTGCTCAAAATACGTGTAATCCTTGCAGAAGACCCCGAGCTCCGCTTCCCGTCGGGCGTGCCGCTGGAGTCGGAGACGCACGGCGGCGACGACGTGGGCGTGTTCGCGCGCGGGCCGCACCACGACTTGTTCACGGGCGTGTACGAGCAGAGCCAGCTGCCCTTCCTTATGGCTTACGCTGGCTGCTTCGGGCCGGGCGCGCACGCTTGTGATGAAACCGATTAGCCTCATAGAACTCTAACGAAGGAGTAATTAATGTGATATTTTTATTTACAATAAACAGATGTTTGCTCATGATATATATTTTAATCAGTATTACTAATTTGAAATTATTAATAAACGAGTACGATGTACACTATTACTCTTTAGCATTTTATTTGTGAATTATTTTTTATAACTATTTGCCAGTTTTGGTTGTTTCTTTTCAAACTTGAAGATGAACGTAGGCAGACTGTCGGGCATTTTCTGTGTATAAATTTTAACTTTATTGTGCAAGAGTATGAGGAATCTTAAGAATAAATGAATGAAAAGCCAAGTTTAATCTTCATTCGTTTTGAGTTTCTAATGACCCGGACAGATCTCCGATATTCTTGAGAGCTGCTGGCTAAGGGATAAAAAGATAAAAGTCGGTCGGGCTGCATGTAGGACAATCAATCAGCGGAGGTCGTTAAGCCTCTCGGACAATGGGACCTGCGGGGAGCGGGGACCAACTCCAAGGATGTAACCTTTGGGAAACTATTCACTTTGAGAAAAGCGCCTACATAATACATTTTACGTCCCGATAAAAGTTAAATGCGTCTTTAACTTTCTTATTCACCTGAGGATTAAACTCTCAAACGGACGATACTCCTGAAGAAACTAAATCCAAAACAATCAAACAAAATTAAAATTATCTTTATTGTATAGAAAAATTAAATTAGTACTTACAAATCGTCAAAATGCTCTTAAGGATAAGGATAAGGATACATGTCTTATTATTTTTTTGCCCTACCAGCTACTACCATAATATTTGTGAATAAATGGTACTATTCATGTTGACATGTAACTACTACAGCAGCAGTACTAAATTGCACTTCCTACGCTTAAGGTATAAGTTTCTGTGATAGAAATCCGTTTCCAGTAAGGCGGTAGAGTCGGTGTAAGTTGCCGTCGGTGGTGCGGTGACACGTGTCAGCGCGGCCGCAGCCCTGCGCCGCATTGACAGGTATTGTCGCGCTGACGCGGATTAATGACGGCTCGTGCTGCTCGTCCCGCACACTCGCGCACAGCTCCGAAAGAACAAACCGCTCATCTTTTGCGCGTGATTCTTTGTGAATGGAATTTCAATAGTTTGTTTCAAGAGTTACGATCAAGTATCGTAACGTAAGTCGTAACATAGTACTGACCTCACAGTAGGAGGTTTTTTTTTTCAAGACGACGTGCATGATTGTTTGGCCAACTAATCTGCGAGCGCGCACGTGAGCGTGACGCGCGGATATGGCACGAGATATATCGCGATGATAGATAAAACTCTGCTGGCGGTGAAGGACTGATATTTTAAATCTGTGATCTGTTTATTTCACGTTTAACACATGCTTGTTGTACTATACTTGATGTTATGAAATTATCAAATCCATCAGAGATTTCTTAAGACAACAGAATACCAAGGATCTGAAACCAAAACAAGTGCAAAGATAATCACATGAAAATAATTGTTGGTATATCGTTGTAATTATCTGTTGGACTGACAGATAATTACAACGATATCCAAGGTTAAAGAAAGTAGAAAATTATTTATTGTTTTTAAATTTAATAAATGCAATCTTTATTACGATCACGATCGTTAATTGCCGATAACACTAAGGCGGATATTGCGGTTCTAGTTTTCAGTAAGTAGAGCTTAATATTTAAGGATGTACTCGTAATTCTGCTAAAGTAACCTTTTCATCGCCTACACCAAAAGCTGTGATACACAGAAGAATCAAGTCGTAGTGATTACTTCAATTCCAGCTAATGTAGAGTTGTTCTGAAAGTTAGGTAGGCTATTACTCAAAATAAGTGTATTATGCTGATTCCAATATTTTTTTCCATTACGTTCGACTCCTTCAGAGTTCATCTATTTTTATGCATAATTTAAAATATTTGGAGTCAACAATAATATTTATCATTGCTGTAACGCTCTACATAAGTGCGATTTGGTCGACAAGCACACTTTCCAAGTCTCCCTAAAATAGAGCATTATGACAGACATAGTTGCGTCGACAGGGGAATGGAATTGGAATGCATTTTAGTGCATTAGTTCGGCGGGTCAGGGCTCAGGGCGCGAGGCGGCGCGTCAGCGGCGGCGTTAATGCTCGCTCCCGATGGGAAAGAAACGCCTTTGTGTTATTTTTAAGTAAACACAATGTCGCATGTTATAACAGTAAACGTCACTTTTTCTCCGGAACTACCCTAATAGTCTCGCTCAATAAAGAAGTAATAAAACGTAGGAATGTAACAAATTCGTAGCTGTGTCGCTGTGACAGTAATATTTCACTGCAAATGACGACACGGGTGAGCGGGACGTCAGAGTGACGCGGGTGACGCCGGCTCGGAGGAGGGTAAAAATTCCGTTTGCGAGTGCGTCGGGTAATGTTATCGCGCGCGTGATATATCAATTATCGGCGGTAGTCGCGTGCGAGGGAGGCGGCGATAAATCTCAACGCAAATGTAGTGCGCGCGTAGGCTCGCGCAGCATTGTGCACGCGGTGATATCGATAGCACCAATGAAAACATAGGTAATTAATATAAATCATTGCTACACGGTTAAATTATTATATGAGACTGCATTGAATATTGAGATATATTTACATCTAGTAGGCATTTAGTATTAAAATCATTGTAGTTATTAATCTTGATATTATTATTATACACTTTTAGTGAATAAGTATTAAAAACATTGAACTTAAAGTCAAAATTATAGTGTAACATAGATCAAATAAAAACATGATTGATAACTACTAAATAGAGAAAAAGGATAAATATTTCGGCTTGAGGCGCAAAATATATTATTTTGGTAATGTCGATATTAAAAACGTTCACACCCCTAGACGTGCGTTACGTTCCCTCGCGGGCTCGCCGCCCTACTGCACGCATAGTGCATGCTCCTAGCACGCTCATCGCTGACGACCCTAACCCTTCTTAACTTATAGAGTTACGGTCGCTTTTGGCCTGTTCCTCTCAGTTCGTAACTTTGTAAGTGCTCATCTAGGAATGAGCTGCCAAATCCGAGGCGATGCATTCAATTGTTCGCGAACGTGTGGCCAATCGATCGGCGCTTTAATTTTACGACTGAGTCGTGGATTATAGCGAACGACTTTAATTTCAATACATTTAATTCTTCATTGGAACTAAACGTTCTTTTACACTAATTTTCTACGTAAAATAAACAGTTAAAAAAGGTTTAACGCGTTTTAACATTCAAAGAAATACAAGTACATATTTACTATAGACTCATTATTATTTTTATATTAGGTATTTACTTAACTAAAACACTGCTAAACATATTTGTTGTTATTATACTTCTTCGTCTCTATGTGTATTTGTAGACGAAAGTTTATAGGTGTACGTAATGTACGAGTATGTGGGTCAACAGTGATGGACATTTAGTTGCTACGAGTACTCGTAGTAATCGCATACAAGGTTTCGTAGTCTCTATTACCTCGTCAGTATGACAAAAAGGGCAGTAATCAGTATAATACTGAGTGCCAATGTACTTAACATTTAGTTTATGATGGACTACTTGCTCAGAATTGAAGAAATGAGAAAGAAGATGTATGTAGCTAGTAAATAAACTTAAAACATGAGTGCAGAATATCTAATATTATTTTAATTTGAGGTAAATAATGAAAGAATTTTAAGCAGATGAGATATTAAACTTAAATTACGCTGTACTCCGAGTTCACTGCACGTCCAGCTCTCTGACCGCGGCGCCGGCTAATAAAGCTCTCGACTACTATATCGCTGGGGCAATTAAGAATCCCTTTTTTAGGTTTAGGTAACAAACGAGAGAAGCTTAAGTTTAAAGTGTTATTAAAATCTTTTTGGTCTTAAACGACTTCATCTATAAATAAGAAGTAGTACTACTCGTAGTACTTCGTCTTCAACTCAAAACTATTAAGTAGGTATTAAAAAATAATTAAGAAACTGGACTGGGGAAACTTGGTACGAGAATGTCTTGTCTTGAGAAAATGAAGTAAATAATTTGGACGACTATGACGCGGACTGTATCGAATCGCGCTGCCGGCGAACCGAACGAAAACTTTGGCAATTACACAAATTGCTCATCGCTCATTACGCCCCTCCCCGCGGCGACGCATCAGTATTCATTAAAAGCGCAATTAGCGGAGTGCATAGCCCTCGGAGCGGTGCGGTCCTCAAAGCGAAACATTACGAAAATGTCATTCGTCAAAATTTCCCCGAAGACTGTCGGTCCGGGTCGCGCGGGGCGGCGGGCCGGGCGGCCGGGGAGCCGGGCGCCGGGCGGGAGGACGATCCGGCAGTCCGGGGCGCTCGCGGACGGCGCTCGCTCGCTCGGCGCGCCGCAAACTTCACTGTGCCGGGACCGGGACTCGCGACGCGCGGCTAGTGTGTGCACGATCGCTTGCAGTGAAGTGTTGTGAAACTTTGCCATTTGGACTTTTATTAACTTACTGGTAAATATTTGCATTATTTCATTTAATTTACTAAATAATTTACGTACAAGTTTGCTACATTGCTACGAAATTCGTAGCACGTTGTGATAGGAGCTTATGAATGAAAAACTTCTGTAACGTACCTACCTATTCGAAAACTTTGGATTGATCTTATAAAGGGTATGTTTTCTTTATATGGTTTTTCCAAAATTAATAAACTATGAACAAAATTTTAATGCCCAAAAAACAACAGCTTCAAAGTTATTTTTGAAGTAGCTTTAAAATTAGTTTCCAAAGTATTTTATTTATATACTACTGTAGAACTTTCAAATGATATGGGGTAAGAATGAATAATTTGTTATAATTAGTTAAATAGATGAAAAAATTTGGAGTTTTAAAATGTGGATGCTACAAGGCCGTGTAGAAAGTAAAAAAATTCAATCAATCGAACTCTACCTATATAAAATTTTAACCCTATAAGTCAACGGCCTATAAAGAAGGGGGTAGTGCGAACTTCATACGCATGCAAGTACCCAGTAAGTGCCGCCACGTCAGGTATTGTTTGACAGATCAGGGTAATCCTCGCGTAGGCGACACCTCGCTGCCACTCGATCGCACATTACGTGCACGTAAGCACAAGGGATATACGACGTGTACCTGTACATGTAAGGCCGAGTGCAAACGGTAAGCCTCTCAATCGAACAATACATTAACTAAAGACCGCTTTGTCTTGGTATTGCAGGCATTATACATATATTTAAGTTATTCGGTAATTTATTCGGCTTTACATTGTAAAGCATTATGTGTTTAGTGGTAGGTGTTCAAATTGTCCGTTTTATTTTTAATAATTTTAATAATAAAATGCAAAGACATCTCGGCAAATTATTATGATCATTAGTCAGTNTAGTCAGCAGGCAGATGGGTTTTATGAATAATATTGTTTGTACATTTTTCAAATGATGCTCCGACTAGTATGTTCCCCGCCTAACATTATCGTTAAGCATTTTGTACATTTTGCGACGTGACTAATCCGACACGCACCGAGCAGACAGAATAACTAATTGCAGACGGATTGTAATAAATCATCCGCCTACGTGTATACATGTTCACACGATAAGTTTTCGCGGTTACTTGCAGTTTTGACGATGGTAGAGTACGTTTCCCAGAAATCATCATCCCATTATTAACAGAAATGTTTTGAGATAGTGCAATTTGGGATATACTGTAGCATACCTTATTGATGTACACGTACATTAGTATCGAATAAGGCCTCTGTAGACAGTATTTCGTTAATAACGTCATTTTACGAGTCAGTCACTCATAATATACGAACTAGCTGACCCGGCTTTCTGGACACATTGTTGGATTGTAATAGTGAAAGTATTCTTTAAATCGGTCCAGTAGTTTCGGAGCCTATTCAATACAAACAAAGAATTGAAATCTCTCCTCTCTATAATATTAGTGTAGAGTAGCCAATACTTACTAGGAAACATGTTTTAACAGATGTAATAAAAAGCGCAAAAATTTAATGAGTTAACAGAATACTTACGAGTACACTACCACAAAAGCGCTCTGGAGTAGAAAGCTTTAGCACCGACCTATTTGTCACAGTTTTCTCTATGTAGCGCGAGATAGGCGCCGAAGCTCCAGGATGCGATGGAATAGTGCCAGCCTATCTGGTATTCATTCTTAATTAAATCCTTATTTATGCCTTGGAAAGTCCTATCCTAACATGAACTGTTGAGAAAACTACGAGCGTTCTCTTTCTTACCTATCTTTATCTTAGGATTGCCTGATAGGTAGTTTAATCAGATTTAGTAAATGTTTGTATTATTTTAAGGTAAAACATTTTTTTATGATACTAAAATACTTATGTCTCTATCATGTGAATTACTAAAAATTCACGTTAGTCTATACCTATCGATGTTAAGCAATTATCTAGTTCAGTAAACCAGCAGACTTTAATTATTAAAAGTAATGTAGGTACCTAGTTATGATGAACAGTATCGTTGTGTTATTGATAGATAGGATTAGGTACTAACATGGAAGACATTAACTACACTCGACAGCAAATAAATCGCACCACCCGCAACGCGAACTTTAAAGATTTTCTTTTGACACAATAATGGCGCCCCAACAATATTGGTGTTATTTGAAAGCCCAATAAATATCCTTAAAGAAAAACACATTTAATTTCTTAATAAATGATTAACATATACCATAAATGTGACTTGAAAAAAGACCTCACTTTGGGCTCACCTCTGGGATCAATTAGACCAAATTTTATGGTTATAAAACCAAATAATGATCATACGTGTCCTCTTTAACAGATGGATAACGATTAATCCCAACTTAACAGTTTTATAGCCATAAAAGTTGGCTCAAGCGTAACTATCTATTTTTTGAAGAAGTGACTCTGGATCCTTCTAAAGAAACATTTTTGGGGTAAAAACCTTTCCTATAATGAAATTAAGTTTAGAACTAGGCTTTTGAATGGTATCAATATTGGTGTGAAGTGGGGATGCATACGTTTAAAAGTGCTTGTCGCGGGTGGTGCGATTTATTTGCTGTCGAGTGTACTTTAAATTGATCTTGTCAGAAGTGATGTTCGAATAAACAATATTAAAGAGTACATCGCAAGAAAATACAATAGGTCCTTTAGCTTTTAAATGACCGATCCTATAATTAAATTCTTATTACCTATTCCAATATGAAGTTAACAGTGCTCGTCGAATGGCCCGGTCGGCGCTTAATATAACTTTTTCGAAATAAAACTGCGAAAGTTGGCCGTTTTTACTAAGGTTTTCCGTGATGTATGATTCAGTATGCCCTCGGGCGAGAGGCAAGAGGCTTAATCCTCGAGACAGCTGCTGGAGAGCTCACCTGAGTGAGGCGGACAGGGCGCGCGGAGGAGGGGTTGACTTGAATACGTCCGCTCCAGTTTCGCGAAGCCTGAGCGGCGCGTATTAAATCTAGAGCCAGCGTCGTCGGCCGCTTAGCTCTCAGTTGACAGCTCGCTGTCTGCACCAAAATACACAGACGTACAGAGGCTTTCATGTGCTATATAATCTCATCTACAGAAAGTTGTGATGGAATGAAAATAACGCATATCTGCCAACTGAATTTTCGGTATAGGTTTTAGGAAATATTTCGGTAAACATTTCAGTTAAGGATATAACTTTAAACATTGAAAGTAATTTACTTTTTACTCGACTGCGCTAGAAGGAGGGTTATATTTTTAGCCGAAAAAATAAAAAAATGAAACTGAAATTCTAAAATCAATCAATGTAATATTGCGAGGTTGTTGTCGGCTATTTTCATAAAATATACTAAGGATATTTTATCTTAAAAAGACAAACGCAAAGCCCAGTGGTGTAATGTATCATCTGCTCATTCTCAACTCCATGCAGGCTGATTGATTATACTTCCTGAATAGGGAAGCCTACATTTTAGAGTATAGGACTGAGATAATGATAGAGGATTTTTATTGAGGTATTGGGAAAACTTTAAGCTCAAACATCCGTGCCCCTCGCTCACATTTACAGTAAACTTGCTCGTACAGCNCGTACAGCTGTAGTAATAATGTCTGAAGCGGCAACAAAAAGCGGAGTTCGTCACGCGTGGGCGCCGGTGACCCACTTGTGCGCGCTAGACGCTCTCGAGCTCCATTTTTCTTTGCTTTGACAACCCATTTAGGTAAGATCCCAACAGGCTTGGAGATTTGGTACGACACGGTATGATAGTAGGTACCTACAGTTTGGTTTAGCCACATGTAAAGTCAAACAATTTTGTCATTGGGCTTAGATTTTACTAAAAAAACTATCTGTTCTATATTCATAAAAGTGAAAGGTCACTGATTGACTGTCCAATCAGTCCGACTCACTCACTCATCACGAAATAGCAGAAACTACAAGTGCTCTCNCGTACAGCAGTAATAATAATGGCTGAAGTGGCAACAAAACGCGGAGAGCTCGTCACGCCTGGGCGCCGGTGACCCACTTGTGCGCGCTAGACGCTCTCGAGTTCCATTTTTCTTTGCTTTGACAACCCATTTAGGTAAGATCCCAACAGGCTTGGAGATTTGGTACGACACGGTATGATAGTAGGTACCGACAGTTTGGTTTAGCCACATGTAACTATCTTGTCATTGAGCTCAGATTTTACTAAAAATCGATCTATATTAAAAGCGAAAGGTTGACTGACTGACTCATTCACTCTTCATGAAATCTCAGAAACTACAAGTGCTAAGAGTCTCAAATTTTGCATGAAACGTAGGTGCTCACTAAGAACTACAAAACTCGACCCCTAAGGGAGTAAATCGTGATCCACGGCCCACGCGTACGAAGTCGCGGGCGGCCGCTAGTTATTTAATACATATAGTGGGTATAATCGTATAAGTAATTGTATCGTGGAATAGGTANTGCGCTATTTTTTTATTGCGCTGATTCTGCTCCATACTGATGTCTGGAGCCTTTAATGGATGGTATTGTTTGTTTATACATACAATCTCACTATTTTGTTGCAATTTCTTACAAAACTTTGCGCGCAAAAAGCAAATCTAGTATGAAAATCATCAAACTTCTAATGCTCGTAACTCAGTTCAGACTGAGTTTAGAGGTATACATGTCATAGTAAATTTGGTTTGTTACACTATTTTGTAATCAAAAAACAAAGTTTGGTCGATGGCCGCGTGAAAAAAAAAAGACGCCAATTTCCGGCATTGTCTTTTTACATGGAATGTAGGTGCTCAACAAGAACATATTTTACAAAACTCCACCCCTAGGGAGTAAAACGGGATCCACGCGTACGAAGTCTGCTAATTATTTAATACATGTATAATCGATAATACCTTATCGATTATACAATACATGTATTAAATAATTAGCAGACTTCGTACTTAATAATATAATTGTATCGTGGAATAGGTATTTAATGTACGCAAAGTGTATGTTAGACCAAGAACAAATCCGATATCTTTACCATAGTAGAAACGTAGCGTAGTTTTCAACCACTATGCACTTTCCCAGTTTCAAAACAAAAAAAGTCCTATTCGCAATTGATGGTCAAAAAGTGCAATCGAGCTATTAAGTAGGAGCGTATTGGGCAGTCAGTAAGCCGAGCGAGGACGATGAGGCGCCGTCGCGAGTGATTGTCGCGGGCGTCGCCGCATTAACTAAATCCCGATAAACCGCTTAGCCGGACCGGACGCGCCCGGACAGCCGGCCGCGTCGGACAGCTGGCCGCCCGGACAGCGCTCGCCGCAGACAATAGAGCTCGAATTAAAGGTCGTTACCCACTGGCGCCGATCGGAACTTCGAATTTCGGGTATCCGAGCTAACTTACTTTGTACGTACAGGCATTGGCTTTAAGCTGAGTGGCTGGAGTTATATGTCCGTCGGGGGTAGTTGTTTCAAGTGGTTCTAATTTATATCAAGCATATCGTTTTGTAATATTCTACTTATGTAAATTAACTATAATTTGGTTGGGCAAATACAAATCACTAAATTGCTACTTATTCACCAGACTACTATTTATTAAATTTTGCCGTTGGCATCAACTGTTTAATAACCTACCCTAAAGAAAAGCTTTTGCAAAATAATTCAGTGTTCTCTATAAAGAAATTCGACAGTGTAATAATATTTATTTCCGAAAGTACTTTTGGGATTATTCTGTAGTTGCTAAGTACATAGATAGGTACTATTTAATCATTGTGTGCAAAAATGAACCATCTATAAAGATAAAACCGATAAAGACCTGATTAAATCCAAAAAACATTGGATTGAAGTACGTAGATAATGCCAACAGCATAAATTAAGATAACGGTCTCAAAGTAAGGCTTATCTTTAAGGATGCTGGAGCAAGAACTGACGTGAAACCTAGCGGAGCGTGGAGGCAGGTTTGGTCAAGGCTTATCGACGGCAGCAGGCCGGTGGTTCAGTGATCGCTGAACGAGCTACGGACGCTAAACCTCCGGAACAGATCAAGGGATTAAATCTAATCTAACATCAGGCCGTTGATATTAGTCAAAACGATTTACAATTATTANTACAATTATGATTACAATCGGATAACGAAGTAGGGAGTCATAAATAATACCTTCAAATATTGATAGTATACCTACCTACGATACGATCGATAGCGTACTGCTGACTTCAAATTTACAAGTTCCGTTTTTTAAACGGTTTTTTCGACTTGGTATGACTGAAGTAGGTAATTATATTGATTGTTATCAAATGAAACCATCTAATCGTAATATTAACATTGAAAACAAAAACCTAGTGACTATTGCGGCTACAATGCGAGGACATCTGTGGTAGTGCACATTTATTTAATTTTACCGAAGCATTTGAAATTGGGCGCCTTCTCGCTGCTTTTCTGAAACACAATAGTCTCTCGCTCAATTTCCCTCGTTGAATTTGTAAGCACTTTTCAATTTCCTGTCCGGTTTGGAATGATGCTTCTATTGGAAAGAAAAGACTAGAAAATTCTGTAATAACCTTGATGGCTGGAATTTCAACTGCGCAATTTTCCTATTAAAAAGGAGAATCGAATACCTACAGATGTTTATCTCACATGTTTTATTACCTATACAAACTGTATAATCTTATGATCGGCTTATCGCTATTGCTCCTTTTGATTACATACTCCCGGTACATTCGTTAAGCTGATGTCGTTTTTATGGGATCCGGTCACGTAATTGGATTTTGAGTATCAATTAGGGTTATTATTTATTACACTATTCAATCAAAAGTCAGAGCAATATTTACAATAGATACTTTTAATTGTTGAATTATGTCTGTAATTCTTCTCACCACTATCATCATCAGGTCTTTATGTTTCCGCTGCAGGGACACGACTATCTCCAATTTACCAGAGGCAAATCTGGGGGCACGGTAGTGCCCCCGCCAAGTCGAGCGCGAAGCAAACACTGCCGTACCATCCTTTACTGGAACCATTTCGCCGCATTTTCAGGCCCCTATTTGAGAACCTCTGGATAAGACCAGAACGCAGAAATTATCGTCATCTAGTGTAAGCTATAATCACATACCTAAAATCCAAAATTTCAAGTCTGTAGGTCATTTAGTTACGAAGTTAAGCGAAAGCAAAGTTTGGCATTTACGACACTCACTCACTCACTCACTCACTGATGATCATCAAAATAGAACTAGTACTTCCCATAAACTCAGAGAGCTGAAATTTGGTACATAGTTAGGGTTTAATGGCCACATAAAGGGAAAACTATAAAAACTAGGAAAATCGAAGATCTGGAGTAACACCACATTCATAATACTACTCCGGCACCGTGGTGTTCGCCTGTATCGCTCACCGCTAGATGGCGCTAGCACTAGCAAGCGGTGTCCAGATTTGTTTCCTTTCTAGAGAAAGTCCAACCCAGCCGTTGATGTGGAACATCGTTGAAATTGATTACAACACAGTGGCCAGTGCATACTATGAAATAATGGTTCGTTATAAATAAATGGTCTATTCAACTGATTTAGCAATGTTCATAATGAATAAATGTTGTGAAAATTGAAAATAATTCTCGGAAAAGCCGTAATATGTGTGAATTGCTATATCAGATTTTTAGTTATCAAAGCAATGTAAAATGAAACAGACTAAATCCCACCAAAAACATTCTGTAAAAAACTAGCCAAGTCTCGATGGAGCTGCTTGTTTATCTCTAAAAAGTAATGAAATCTAGACAAAGTCGTGCCAAGTCTATGGTTCCTTACTGCGATTTCTTTATTATTATAGTTAATGTTGTGTGACTTGGCCGTTGAACAATCTTTATTAAGATAATCATATATAAGTATTATAAATACGCAGCTTTACTGAACCTACAATTGAATGGTTATTGTTGAATCAACGTTTTCCAAGTGGCAATTTTCCATCGTCAATGGGTAGCGGTTCTGGCGACAGATTGGTGCAATGGTGTCATGGAGCACCTGGTTTTGTCACCCTTCAACGGCCAAGTCACACAACATTAACTAATAATAAAGAAATCGCAGTAAGGAACCATAGACTTGGCACGACTTTGTCTAGATTTCATTACTTTTTAGAGATAAACAAGCAGCTCCATCGAGACTTGGCTAGTTTTTTACAGAATGTTTTTGGTGGGATTGATAATTATGCCAAAAAACTCAAAAACTATGCTCGAGAAAGAATTTTTCAAATCGGTGCTATTCGCTGGGTGCGAAGTACTAGGTGGGGGTAACATAATCTATCGCAGCGCTCATGGTGGTCAAAAGTAGAAATAATGTAAGCTCTGTCATCAGATGTATCTGTCAATGGCAAAGCGATTCTACTTAATACATTTTAATATCATTCATTAATCGCATGAAAAGGGTCCTACTGGGAACTTAAATGAAAGAGTGGACTGTATTTCGATAGGGCTGGTTTAATAGCCGTTTACAATTTGGAAATAACTAGACTATACAACGTGGTAGTACAAAAATGAGTCACAGTAGTTGTTGTGCACAGATGTTTGCCTTATGATGAGAGCGTGAATTATTGAACTCTGCCCTTGTTTTGTTCTTAATTCTTCTACATCTCGGACTTGTCCAGCCAATACCAACAACTTTCCTTTAAATACGGTTTGTGGTTGGAATTTGATATTGTAATATTCGCTGGGTGCGAAGTACTAGGTGGGGGTAACATAATCTATCGCAGCGCTCATGGTGGTCAAAAGTAGAAATAATGTAAGCTCTGTCATCAGATGTATCTGTCAATGGCAAAGCGATTCTACTTAATACATTTTAATATCATTCATTAATCGCATGAAAAGGGTCCTACTGGGAACTTAAATGAAAGAGTGGACTGTATTTCGATAGGGCTGGTTTAATAGCCGTTTACAATTTGGAAATAACTAGACTATACAACGCGGTAGTACAAAAATGAGTCACAGTAGTTGTTGTGCACAGATGTTTGCCTTATGATGAGAGCGTGAATTATTGAACTCTGCCCTTGTTTTGTTCTTAATTCTTCTACATCTCGGACTTGTCCAGCCAATACCAACAACTTTCCTTTAAATACGGTTTGTGGTTGGAATTTGATATTGTAACACTCACAAACCCGGTCTTCAAAACAATACTCATTTCGATCTGAAAACGATATTTAATTTATTACTAGCGATACAGGAACATTTAAATATATTTACTGTTATATAATGAAACCGTTAAAGTAGCTTTTTCTTTTCGTTTTACTGTAAAACTACAACTATAACTGAAGTAAACAAACCCTGACACAATCAAAATTTAACACACTTTTTGGACTTACCTCATTTGATTTGAATGACCAAAATGATTTCAAAACCTTTTTTCCACCCAAATCGTGGTATCACAACAATTTATTGGTCGAAAATATTTGTTATTTTTTCATTTCGATATTTTTCACAAATAGACGACCTAAATGTCAATGTGACAGAGCCCACAAAGTTGTGGACGCTAGTTGGCGCTGTAATCGTGCACAGAGCCAATAGTTTCGGAGCCTATTCTATACAAACATATAGAAAAGCAAATCTTTAACTATTCTTCTAATATTAGGTAATATAAAAAAAATAAAACTGGCTAGAAAATTAAATCAATCAGGTGGAAAAAAAGAAAAAGTGAAGATGAAGAAAATATTGGGAAACTTCCTCTGGAGCATGAAATAATTTCTTTGTTTAGATACTCCCCGGAGTTTTAATGCTCATTAGGAGTTTTTAAGTTTAATTATTTACTGTCCCTGAAGTGGATTACGGTTCGAATTGGGTTGTCGCTTTATTGAAAGATTTTTATCTTTGTTTCAGATAACAATCAATTGACAGTGTTTACTGGTTCGTGTGCTAGTGATGTGATCGTGGACAAAGTGCCGTGATCGTGATGTGACGTGGCGGGGTCCACGACGACGACACGGCGCCGGCACGACGCGGACACGACTCTGAGACGACATGGCCGACGACAACACGATCATCGAAGGCACGGTCAAGTTCCGTGACGGGAAAAAGGTGGGAAAACCGATATTAGTGATTAGATTCTCAAGTGCTCTATCTTATCTTTTAACTTATCAGTCTCATATGAATTTATGGAGAGAAAGCGTTGGTGAAAAATAATGCGTAATTTTGAAAAGAAAATAATATAATCTTGGATATCTCATCAAGCGATATCGTGTATTTCATGACGCAATATTGTCGCCATAAACTGATTGTTTTTTTATGCATAGCAAACCTAATTACCTAGTCTCTAGGGTGTTAGTTATACCTACTCTTTACCAGTACAAGGATGATCGCGGAGCCGCGCATACAGAGACAATTGACTCTCAGTTGTAGATACAACAGAGAGTCAATTGTCTCTGTATGCGCTGCTCCACATCGACATATACCTAAATTCTTTAGAAATTTCCTTAAATGTAAACAAACACTAGTGCACACAATTACACCATAATCACTTACGTGTTCATAATATCATACACATTATTTCACAAGCCCATGAAACCAACTTTATTCTCACGATTATACAAGTTTGTAATCAATCTTTAAACAAATTATTTTAGCAAAATACCTATGTGGACGATGAAAATTTGTGAGACTTGTCAAATTGACTTGAAGTTTAAAATTATGTGTTATCTCCATGTTGTCTCTGACACATCAGTGTTGTAACTTGTAAGTGATAGACAATAATCGGTAAATTTAATCGATTTTATTTCAATTATTCTATCATTTTTATTACTGATTGCATTTAAATAGATTTAAATAGGGTCTTAATCAACAATGTACTTTTTCTTCATTGAATGTACTACTAATTGTTTAATGCACTGCTTTATAAAGCATTATAAATTCTTTCTATAGGTACGTAAGTACTACAATAATTTCAATCCGCGATTAACGAGAGGTTTTGTCGCCTCACTAGGGCACAGATTAAAAATGTTTTAATGTCAGTTGGCCATATTTGTTTACATATAGGGAAATTTCTAAAGAATCCGACTTTACACAAACGCATCTGCGTTTGTGTATGTCGAAGCATTAAACAATGCGAAACTAATACAACCACGACGTACTTACCTGTACCCTCTTACCTCGTGATGTTCAAAAGCTATCCGAATAGAATATTGAAGTGAAAGCGAAGTAGGTTAGTGGGGCGGTTCTCATATCTCCTGCTGTCGGAATACATTAATGTCGGCTCCTGTTTGTTCCAGTGGAAGTCGCGATGGTGCGTCATGAGGAAGCTGTCACCGGTTGCAGGTGAGTTCTGCTTTTTGCTTTTCGACAAGAATATTATTAAATACCTATATTCTGCATGACATTTCGTGATTAAAATATCCAGATTTGCTAAAATATTCTCCGCCAAATTCTGTCAGTTATCGTATCATATTTTTATCTCTTGGACACCTGATTTGATAAGCATAAGTCATGTGTACTCAAACACTATGTATGCTAACTAAATATTGAAATGATTTGAGATCTATGACAGTATATTGTAAAGTCATGACTCGAACAAAATTAAAAAATAATCAGTATTTCTTTCATCTTGCGGCTGATATTTACAATATGCAAATATCTTTATATATTTTACACGTGATATGTACTTAGGTATTATATATATTGTGCTTGGTGCTTGATGTTCGTTATAAAAGATAGCGTGGTAAAAGATACAGGCTATCAGACAGTGGCAAATTCACGTACATATTATAATTATCAATAATTATCTCTGACAATAATATAGGTATGATAAATAATCATCTATTAAAGTACGTCATCAGTAAACTATTAAATACCTATACTAATATTACAAAGCTAAAGAGTTTTTTGTTCTTTTTTTTTGCTTGAACGCGTTAATCTTAGGAACTACTACTGGTCAGTTTTGAAAAAATATTTCCATGTCGAATAGCTCATTTATCGGGGAAGGTTTTAGGCTATAATAACATCACCCTACAGTCAATAGGAGCAGAGCAGTAAAGAAAAATGTTGCAAAAACGAAAAATATAATTCAAAGTATTTTCACGCGTACGAACTTAATAGTGTAATTATTCAAGTCATTTGAGTTCTATATAAATACATACTGGAAGTATCTGTAGTTGTGCGATGTGATGTAATCCGCGTTATTAGAAGTAGATTGCGTAGTAATTGCTGGCTGTGTCTCGGCTGCTTAGTTATTCATGGACAATAAGCGTCGGCAATAATTAATACCGCATCAAATGAGTATGAATCCGAAGCGAGCGGCGCAACTTGCCGGCTAAGGTATACGACAGTAACTTCGCCAGATACTTTTAGTGCTATAGAGCTTACTACGAGTAGATGCAAAACTTACAAGCTCTATTTAGGCTGAGTTGCACCACCTAACTTTAACGGTAACTATGACGATAACCGGTGCTTTTTTGTATGTAGTATTTGTATGGAGTTTGACAGATTTTTGACGTTTGTCAAAGTTAAAGTATGATGGTGCAACCCAGCCTTAATGTCTGAATTGTTTTGTTACAACGGAACCCAGTCGAGATGATTGCGGAGCGTGTAACGATATTCTAATACATCGTATTACCTCCCGCTTAACCTCGCCGGAGGTCCCGGCTTAGGCCAGCTCCCTCAGGACGCCGCTCGGCTCCGGCACAGGATTATGATTATGTGCCCACAATAACACTCGACAAATTGGATGGACTTATGCTATGGTAGCTTATATCCGGATAGCTTTAAAACTTAATTTAAAACAGAAAATCGTCTAGCGCCTGTTGAGAGTTTCATAGAAGGCTTAATCTTATAAGAATATAATGTAATGGCTTAGAACAAACAACTAGCTGAGACTGCGATCACCCACGCTGTCGGCTTATAACGTTTTTGATGATTTTACCTAAGCAATAATATTAGAAATTATTCTTAAAATTTGAAACAATAGGTTCATAGACCCACTTATTTCATTAATTACGAGTACATAAAAATGATTAATAGATTATATTATCTACGAGTATTATCAACAGTGATAATCGATTTAAGATTAACTAGCGGCCGCCTGCGACTTCGTGCGCGTGGATCTCGTTTTACCCCCCCTTCATCTATCTTACGCGGTTCAGATTTTTTCATACAAATGTTTTTTCCCGCTAACTCCCGTTCCCGTGAGAATTTTGCAATATCCTGTTGTAACTAAGCTTGAAGTTTACTAAGGTACCTGCATGCCAAATTTCAAGAGTCTATCTTACGCGGTTTAGATTTTTTCATACAAATGTTTTTTCCCGCTAACTCCCGTTCCCGTGGGAATTTTGCAATATCCTGTTGTAACTAAGCTTTAAGTTTACTAAGGTACCTGCATGCCAAATTTCAAGCGTCCAACTTAAGCGGTTTAGATTTTTCGTACAAAAGGATTTTCCCGCTAATTCCCATTCCCGTGGGAATACCTAAGTATCCTATAACCTGCCCAGGAGTATGAAGAATAATTGTGTCAAGTTTCGTTAAAATCCGTCAAGTGGTTTTTGTTTCTATAAGGAACATACAGACAGACAGACAGACAGACAGACAGACAGACAAAAATTTTACTGATTGCATTTTTGGCATCAGTATCGATCACTTCACCCCCTGATAGTTATTTTGAAAATATATTTCATGTACAGAATTGACATCTCTACAGATTTATTATAAGTATAGATAACCATCGATTAAAATGTCATGATAAGACGATTATTAAACCTTTTCATAAAGCAGCGTTCTTGATGGATTGATCCTTGTGCAATAAATCATACATGAATACTATCTGTATGGTGGACATCAAACGGCATAGTTAAGGACAGCCGAAAACAATTCATCCTAGTTATGAAACATTTGAGTGATCTTCTTCTTTTCGTGTCGACAACAAACCTACACAGTGTCAGCCCAAAACTCCGCCACAAGAGTGGCGTTGTCAGTAGCACTCATCAAATCCTCCTGAGTGCAGTTGCTTGGGCACTCAGGGCATGACATCAGGTGCTTCATCGACTGGGGAACAAAACCGCACCTGCACTCCATGTTTAAGCCATCCAAGAATCCCCACCTGACCAGATTGTCCTTACTACGGCCAACCTGCGTCCGAAGTCTATTTAAAGACTTCCATATTATTATTTGAGTGATAATATCAACATGAAACTTTCGTATGAGGTCGAGAGCTCGTGTATTAGCGCCCCCACACGTCTCGTGCGACCTGATTCCCGCAGCAAGACTGCCTCGCTAGTGGCGCGTGACGTCACACTCCCTCATCCATCACGCGGTGCAGCCAACTTCGCCTGCAAATCTGGGGGCACGGTAGTGCCCCCGCCAAGTCGAGCGCGAAGCAAACACTGCCGTACCATCCTTTACTGGAACCATTTCGCCGCATTTTCAGGCCCCTATTTGAGAACCTTTGGATAAGACCAGAACGCAGAAATTTTCGTCATCTAGTAAGCTATAATCACGTACTTAAAAAAGTACGTGATTATAGCTTACTAGATGACGAAAATTTCTGCGTTCTGGTCTTATCTGGTCTTATCACGTACTTAAAAAAGTACGTGATTATAGCTTACTAGNTACAAAATATTTTTTATAAAATCCGATTTGTATGAAAATTAAAATAATTAAAATGAAGATATCAATTTTCTGACTTCACCATACCATTTATATGCCCATGTTAACATGGGCTAGTGTCGGCTCATATACCCATTTACCTAACATCCTGTATAGCTTACTACGAGTAGATGCAAAACTTACAAGCTCTATTGATTTTCAAATACAAACCACCATTTGATATTTAAATTAAATAAACACAGGTACTAGCGATGGATGAATCAACATGTGGCGTCTACCGTACAAATGCGTAACACAGGCTGAGTTGCACCAACTAACTTTAAAACGGTAACTATGACGATAACCGGTGCATTTTGTATGGATTTTGACAGATTTTTGACGTTTGTCAGTTAAAGTAAGATGGTGAAACCCAGCCTAAATGTCTGAATTGTTTTGTTACAACGGAACCCAGTCGAGATGATTGCGGAGCGTGTAACGATATTCTAATACATCGTATTACCTCCCGCTTAACCTCGCCGGAGGTCCCGGCTTAGGCCAGCTCCCTCAGGACGCAGCTCGGCTCCGGGACAGGATTATGATTATGTGCCCACAATAACACTCGACAAATTGGATGGACTTATGCTATGGTAGCTTATATCCGGATAGCTTTAAAACTTAATTTAAAACAGAAAATCGTCTATCGCCTGTTGAGAGTTTCATAGAAGGCTTAATCTTATAAGAATATAATGTAATGGCTTAGAACAAAAAACCATCTGAGATTGCGATCACCCACGCTGTCGGCTTATGACGTTTTTGACGATTTTACCTAAGCAATAACATTTGAAATTATTCTTAAAATTTGAAACAATAGGTTCATAGACCCACTTATTTCATTAATTACGAGTACATAAAAATGATTTATACATTATATTATCTACGAGTATTATAAACAGTGATAATCGATTTAAGGTTAATTAGCATCGATTAAAATGTCATGATAAGACGATTATTAAACCTTTTCATAAAACAGCGTTCTTGATGGATTGATCCTTGTGCAATAAATCATACATGAATACTATCTGTACGGTGGACATCAAACGGCATAGTTAAGGACAGCCGAAAACAATTCATCCTAGTTATCAAACATTTGAGTGATCTTCTTCTTTTCGTGTCGACAACAAACCTACACAGTGTCAGCCCAAAACTCCGCCACAAGAGTGGCGTTGTCAGTAGCACTCATCAAATCCTCCTGAGTGCAGTTGCTTGGGCACTCAGGGCATGACATCAGGTGCTTCATCGACTGGGGAATAAAACCGCACCTGCACTCCATGTTTAAGCCATCCAAGAATCCCCACCTGACCAGATTGTCCTTACTACGGCCAACCTGCGTCCGAAGTCTATTTAAAGACTTCCATATTATTATTTGAGTGATAATATCAACATGAAACTTTCGTATGAGGTCGAGAGCTCGTGTATTAGCGCCCCCACACGTCTCGTGCGACCTGATTCCCGCAGCAAGACTGGCTCGCTAGTGGCGCGTGACGTCACAGTCCCCGCTCCTCGCTCATCCATCACGCGGTGCAGCCAACTTCGTCTGCACATTACGAATACCGAACAGTTCAATCTGGAGATGGTTTGTCTCGGAGATATCTATCATTGCAGATTGGAGCGCGACTATATTTGGCCAACCGACAAATTAATTGCTCGTATAGACTGGGTAGATCGTAAACGATTTACCCAGAAAG